GGAGACAAACTTAAGATTATATTCCTCGAGAACTATAGGGTTTCATTTGCCGAGAAAATTATTCCCGCGACTGATTTGAGTGAACAGATCTCTACCGCCGGAACAGAGGCCTCCGGAACAGGAAATATGAAATTTATGGCAAGTTTTGCGCATTTGATTAGTTTGAAAGTGATTGTAAAAACTAATGGACACTTGCATTGATCAGATGAACGGTGCGCTAACCATCGGGACGTTAGACGGCGCCAACGTGGAGATGAGGGAGGAAATGGGTGCCGAAAACTTCTTTCTCTTTGGGTAAAGGATTTGTTTCAATAATGACAATCAATTCAATGTGATATCCGTTGTATAGTCTCAATGAGGACGAAGTGGAGGCATTGAAGAGAAAGGGATACAACGCTTGGGATTACTATAACAAGAATCCGGAACTTCGCGTTGTTGTCGACCAGATTAATAACGGCTTCTTCAGTCCCAATAATCCGGATCTATTCAAGGATGTGGTGAATGTGCTCATGAATCACGACCGCTTCTTTGTGTTCGCCGATTACGACGACTACGTGGAAACGCAGGATAAAGTGTCCCAAATGTATACCGTAAGTATTCATAGCGATTATGATGTGAATTGAATTTAATGAATTGTAAATGAATGCAATGAATGGACAGAATCCGGAGGAATGGACTAAAATGACAATTATCAATATCGCCACTTCCGGCAAGTTTTCCAGTGATCGCACGATCTGTGACTACGCCCGAGATATCTGGAATGTAGAGCCCAGTTGGGAGAAACTGCCCGCTCCTCATGAGCCCGTCGATGAGGCCAAAGCCAACACTGCTTCTGCTGCACAGGTCAACGGGGCCGGCAAGTCGGCCGCAACCCCTAAAAATGCCAAACAAATCAAAGCTTAAAAAGCACTAAATATGAAACTGTTTTAAATCGTTTATCTAGTTATAAAATCTAGACTTTATTGCAATAATTGTTTGAATTATATGAATATTATAAAATCTATTAATTAGAGCTCTCTATATATAAAATTGAATTTTAACTGAAGGTCTGATTTTGTCAATGATTGTTGAAATGACTTAACAAATAAATTTTATTTTAAATTTTAATTCTGGACTTCAGTTTCATCTTTGTTTTGGTGGTCTTCGAGAGGCATCTCCTCCAAGAGTTTAACTCTTTTGGCTTTAAGTCTCTGTCTATCCATTTGTGTGATATAACTCTCGAGTGAGCCGTATGTGGCGATCAGATTGATTCTGGAGAGCTGTTGGCTTTGTCTGTATTGCCATCGCTTCGTATACGTCTCCCAACCCTTGTGTCGAGTGTAATAAACGGGTCTCTCTTTGGGCGGTTGTATTACCCGTCCGTTATAGATATACATATCGTAATCAAGTATCTCATCGGCACTGATCTCCTCATCAGTGCGACACCCGTTTGTAGGTCTGGCCAACACTAGTGGATAATTATAATCACCGACCAGTTCCACAACGTTTAGACGTTTATCGTCAGCCATTTGTTGGTAAGTCTTTTGGTGTTGGAGTCCATTAAAGAAGGCGCGCGTAATGTGCAGATAGTTCTTCTCCGAACCCTCCACTTTGCAGTGGATGTCCGTCAGACCCAATGCCTCGCAAATGGCTGTAATACAGCGGTGGGCGCGCACTCCATACCCTTTGGGCATTTTGCGGACAAACAGTTCTGTGGCCCAGTATTTCGAGTAAAAGTTGTGGTAAAGAGAGTTCCCTTCGTATAGATTCATGTATTGGAGTCGTTGTGCGGCCTTATTCTTCGAGCGGATCACCGCTGACTTACTGTCCACGTGTTTGCCGACCGCATAACCGGCCAAACCATTCATGTTTCCCGTCACTGATAGGCAATAAAATCTCTTATGTTTGCCGAACAGAGCCGTCATCTTAAAGATTGGCTTCAAAACGACAACTTTGGTGTCGAAGCCCACGAACTGTTCGCCGTGTATGGCATCGGGAGGTCCTATCCAACGGCCGCCCATTTTGTTGCCACTCCACCCCCTCTCCAGAGGGTGTACTTTGGCGGCAGAGAACCGTCGCATACGACTCCTCGCGTTCGCCATATTCTGGTCGTATGTCTCGTCTCTGCCCAAAGACTTGAGACGAAGTGTCTGTCGGCCGACAAGTATAGGTGCGTTCAGTCCGGGCCATACCATGCGATGCCGGCCCACACCGATCCTCTGCCCCCGATTCAAGTCCTGCTTCATTATCTTCCCCCCTCCCCCCTTACGCCCCCTTTTGGCACTCATTTTGCTCACTCCCATCGCACCCCTCCACAGCTGTTCCCCTTTCACTGCAATCAACCATTCAATGCATCAGTGGATCAGTGGTGAAGTTCATCACTCATTCAAAGACAATCTCAACGAACCTCTCGTATAGAAAGAGCTGTTATTTCGGACCAAATCCTTGTTTATTAAGACATTTGTTTCGTTCAAATGACAACTGATTGTCAATGTCTTGAGTGCGTGACCGACACGTGTTAACTGTAACCCCAAACACAGTCTAAACATTGCTTTCAATTGCAATTAAATTACAATTAAATCACAATTAAATCACACTTTGAAACACATTTCAAAACAAACACACATTTACTCAATGACTGAATGACTGTCTGTTCACACAATACGACTCACTATTAGCCGCCGTTTACTTCCCTTCCTATCACTCATGCAGTCATTCATTGATTGCAAAGCAAAACGTTTTTAGTGTTTATTATATTAACAAACATTTCAAATCAATGTTTTTCATCACATGTTTCACAACTTTGGTTACAATTATGTAATTAACTTTAAACTATTGATTTGATCAGTAATTATGAATTTATCGCAATTTGTGTCTAAATTAAGTAAAAGTCATTTCGCGAGATATGGATTGCCTTTCATTGTATGTATGGATCACATGTCATATCATTGTATCGTTCACTCAATGCATGTCTAAAACTTTGTTTCGTTTGAGTATTCATTCAAATAATTAGTATTTAATTGAATTCATTGATTAGATTTGCAGTAATCTATAGACATGTTTGACATCAATGACTGGCAATCACTTAAACCAGTCATTGTTGTCAAACTGCTAACAGTAATCATTACTAATGTAATCACTGGTAATGATCGCTCAATTAGTCGCACCGGTAGTCATGCCTTAGATATGCTGTTTAGTCATCGATACAATGCCTACCAAGTGACTGATCCATGTCTTTATGTGGTATATGTGGTACAGCTGTTCATCACCGGTGGCTCATATGTGCTCAAAGAGTTCGCAACCATTCGCTACGAAATCAGTCGACATAACAAACAATTGGGAGTAAGTGTCGCAACACATGCATCACATGTCACACCCCATGCCCTCCCACACCCCCACTCTCCCCCACACCACCGCTATTATGTAACTCACACTACAATAGCTTACACCCCGAGCCATACAAACCGTTATTATGTTTGCATTAAATTGTGAGAATTTATAGCTAGTAGTAATTGTCTGTAATTAACATAAAGTGTTGAATACTTTTGTGGGAAATTCACATCAATTTTCTTTTTATCACTTTTGATAACTTTAATTCACTTTTTTCGCAACCCTTTGCATAATTATAACAAATTCTTGACTTTTGGTCATTAAATTTGTGACATTTTTAGTTATTTTTATTTATAGCAAACATGACAACATTAATTTTTATGCTATAAATATAAAACACATTTAGACATTACTGTTTTCGCTTAATTTAGATATATTTCTATCGGTTTTAATATTTTCACAGAAAAAATATTATTATAAATTATACAATAAGACAATACCTCTTTAACTAATTATTCAAATAGTTTATCCCATTTAACGTTTAACATAAGTATTGTTTTTTAATTGTTTTAAAATTAAAACATTTCATATTACTATAAAGTAAAACTTTGAGAAAAAATATTGTAATATCTGTATATTATTATATAATAATTTTGTTATGAGATTATTATTAAATAAGTTTAATTATATTTCTAGATTGCTTTATAATAATGTTAGTAGTCTATGTTATATTGTTTTAAAAATGATTCACATTTTTGTCGCACAAATGCTTTTTAAATTGAGTTGATTAGCCCCTCATTTTATGCACTAATTTTATGTCAATGCAATTTCTACGGTACTATGAAATCAAGATTTTATTTCAACTCTAAATATGTTGCATTCATTTAAGATGATAATCATATGATCGTTAACTCGTATATAATTAATGTAATGGTAACTAAACCTCAGGTAACCCCAGATCTGGTCAAAGAAATGGGATTTGATGTGAAGAATTTGAAGTCATTGGAAGAGGAATATGATAGTATGGTAAAGACAGTGGACACGGATAACTGGAAGAATATTCGTGGTCCCCGACCCTGGGAGGAGAACACCACTGAATATAAAGAGATGATTGAACGCAGAATTAGTGAGGAAAAGACGAAGAGAAGGATATAATTTGTTTTATATTTGTAATAAAAAGTCAAATACAGTCATTTGTATAGTTGCCATAAATTAGATGACAATATAATTAGTTTTTTCAATTTACAATTATACTCATTGTAAGAGTTCATGAGATTAGCTAATAAAATAAATTTTCTAAACAAAACTATATAATTGAAATAAGATTTTATTCTGTAATATTTTTATTATTAAATTTGATTACTGATATTTATTGATAATATAAATTCAGTATTTCTCTAATAATATACTGCATCAATATTTATTATAGTAAATTCAATAAACATACTGTTGAACATATTGTTATTCCTAATATAATTACAGACAATCTGTGAATGTTCACAAATATTTAAATCTAATCTAAAATTTATTTCATAACAAGTGATGTAAAGATTATGAAAATAAAGTAAAAAAGATTTTATAAAATCTATTTAATTATAAACTTATTAAATTAGATGACAATAAATCGTACGATACTTTGTGTTACTATAGTTAAACCAAAAACAATTCAAATAATTATTTGAGTCATTGTTTGAAAGCAATTATTTGATCAAATTATCTATAAATCTGAATTGATGTCATCATTTGGATCAGGTTTGTGGCAAATAATTCTTCCAAATCGTTGCATTCGGTTGAAGGCATCTTCGGTGTCAAACGAGAGGGTGAGTCCGATCTCTTGGAGTTTGTCGTTGTATTTGTCATCAAACTGTTGGCTTTGATGTGCACTGAAATGGTTCCTCCAGTCGCCGATGATGCCTTTCCTCATGAACTTTGATTGGCTCATATCGAATAGATCTTTAATGGGAAGGTTCTCGCGGTTAACCATATTATTAGTCTTCATCTCATCGAAAGAACAGTGTCTCGCGATTCTAGTGATCGTATCCTTTGATAGTTTGCGACCAACAAAATCTGCCATTACTTCTATCATTTTTGGTAAATCCTGTCAAAGTATTCAACATTACTTATGATAAATATGACATTGTTCATTTGCTAAATGATGCTTCACATTATTGAGTTTCAATATTCTTACAGTTTTTAATTCTTCGTATGAAACATATAGTACTCTATTTGGGTAGAGTTGATATAAATCCCAATAGCCTTTGATGTGTTCATACCAGTCCCCGTGCACTAAATGACCCTTCAGGAAGAGCTCTACAAAGTTATCCCACGACCCCTTATAATTGCCTAAGAAAGTACTGATCCGGTGGTGATGGTAGTATGAAACGGCATTGTCTTTAGGATTACGAACCACATATATTATCTGTAATATATGAACATAATACTTGCATAAATCAATGGCTGTCCATAATTTTATTAAATAATTACAATAAAATAATCACAAATAGAGGTGCAATGAAATGAACCAAACCTTGCATTTGCTTTGTTGGAGCTGAGATGGGATGTGAGAGGCCGGCAGATGTGTTGCCATAAGTCGGGGTGATTTTAACTTCTTGAGCCAACGGGAGTGACCTACAGGTCGCCCCACTTCGAAGTGTACAACTCTTTGGACGAGTAGCACGTCTTTCACTTTATCGATATCTCCGTTATTGTAAATGAGAGAAAGGATTTCCTCCGTCCAAGTGGTGCCTGACTTGGGATATGTGGCTAACCATAAGTCATCGGCTCTCACCTCGAAATTGTCGATCTTCTTCAGAAATTTGGGATAAACGAGATAACCCTGAAGTAAGAGATCCCTATAGAGTAAGGCTTTGGGAATCGAGCGAACGTATTGAGAGCGCTGGGGATCGGAGTCCAGGTTTGGCTCGTTCTCGGCTCTGATTACTAAACTGTTTTTCGATATTTTCTCGTTTAGTATTAATTTTCCCAATGGGTTTGAATACAAGAATTTCAAGGAAAACATGTCGTTCCCTTCCATTTTACAGATGGTTGCAGATGATTGCATTTAATTAAACAAATTAGTGATTTTAAAATATTACAAACATGTTCAAGTTAACCAAAACACAGTTATTGGTTTTTGAGTGTCTATTCAATATTTACATCCAGAGGCTTACACTTGAGCCAAGTTTAACATCAGAATATTGTAGAATAACTATTTTGGAAACACCTTTCGTAAAGCAACTCATATTATCAGTGATTTTCTTACAATCAAATAATTAACACAAACACACTAAACATTAAAATTGTTTGAATTATTGCTTGTTTTTAAATAACACAATATAATATAATAATATCTAAATTATAAGTAATAAAACAAAGAATGATTTGTAGACAACTAGTACATTATTAGTACACATAAAGTAATGTATGAGTAATTACCTGCAAAACAGAATTCCTATGCTCTCAGAGAATTGCAATACAAAAAGTGTTCAGAAAATCAATACTAATGTAGAAAGTTCTGCAAACTTTCCTCCAATGCTATCAATACTTTGTAGCTTATATGCAAAAGTCAATGATTCGCAAAATATAGAGACTTATTGAGCAAAACATATAATATTATCCATAATTTATTAACTCTTAATTTTCTTTTATAGAAATAAGTGATTTATTTCTCAATAACTAATTTTTATGTTTTATGAAAAACAAGAATGTATTTAAAGTATTAAAGAGAATAGTATAGTGTTATAAATTATAATATAAATTATACATTATTCTATTAAAATACTATTACTATAATTATATTTATATTCTGAATTAAATTATTATTTTACTATTACTCTATTAAGATACTAGCTCTCATTTTGATTACAAAATGAGGTAAATATTAAGTATAAAATTTTAAATATTTAATTTGAATTTATTAAATTTGACTAACCGTTATTATTTAATCAGATTTATGTTTCAACAAAAATATATAAATCTTATAACTTACCTAGTGCTAACTTAATGTAAATAGAAATATGGCTTTTATTTAATTTAATGTGAAATAAACTCAATGAAAATTCAAATATGTTTTCAAAAGTACAGTATTAATATGATTATTATAATTCTTAATTTTATGAAACTTCATTGATTTCTTAACTTTTCTGCAAATAATGTAAACGTCATGCAATTATAGAAATATTTATAACTTATTAATAAATATTATAATTATAATTTTCCAATAAGTTATCATAAAGTCAAATAACAAACGTGTCAATAAGTTAGTGTCATTTGTAACTTAAAGTAAATAATATAAAATTTGTGAAATTATTGTACCAAATAGAAATAACTTAGTTTTTTCTAATACATTGTTAAGAAATAATAATTTACAAGGTAATTTAAGAATTTAGATTAATAATTATATTATTCTTATTAAATTCAAGTTATTAAGTTATTTAAATAATAAAAAATTGTATTAAAATATTATTAAAATATAATTAAGAATTAATAAGAATACAGTATTTTGTGTTTTAGATTTATTTTTTAGAGTTAACTAATAAAAATATTTAATTATTTTAATATAATTTAATATACATTGTAATAACATAAAATAAAAACATTTTATATGAAAATATGCATTAAGGATTGAAATAAATTTAGCATTGAATCAAACAAATCTCTCAATTCGTTGGAAATTGGGATTTATATGTAATAAGTGAGAGTAGAGGCGAACCATGTTTTGGGCCGATCTCTAGATTTATGAATTGAATGCACGCTATCATTCATATAATAAAACTAATCCCTTATTGTCTTGTTGTTAGGGTTACTCTATTAATGATCACATTCTTATGGGTTTTCACATTAAATATTAATAATATTCTTGACTTCAAATTCTCTCATTCACAGCATCGGTATATTCATATCATATCACAATTCAGTGAATATTATATTGTGTCTCTAAATCGCAGAGTCTATGATTTAAAAATTTCTCTCAATTTATATAATTAGGTAATGAATTAAATGAATATGGTATTATTTATTTAAAATGTCTCAGCATTAGATCACCATATTATTCTGTATTCAAAATGATATTACATATTGATATATAGATATTGATATGAATTATATTTCTAATTTAAATTCACAACAAATTTAGTACAAAATAGTTATCAGATTTTAATTAACATGGACTTTAATTAAACTTGAATCATTTACTTTTGTTATGAAATTTATTCTGGTATTTAGTAACTCTGACCTCTAACTTGACCTGTATATATAATATATATTATATATGACCAATAAATTCTATTTTCACTTAAACTTTTAAATTAATTTTATTCTAACATATCAAGTATCGTGCTAATTTGTACAAATTTAATCATCTGGTATTAAGAGGATTTAAAAACATGTAATAATTGTGACCATTTTTTATATAGCTTATTAGAGTATACAGTACTGTACTGTATAACACAATGTCATAAATAATACGGATGATTGTCATATTGTTGATTATTTGTATAGGGAATTAGTCATATTGTTAGCTGTTGACTACAGAATGATTGACCAAGTTGACGACACTTCCCATATCCAATCCATTGACCATCAAATAGTGGGTCGAGCTGTCCTTCTTAACCCAAAAACTAATGAACAGATCTACCGAACCGACTAAACCACACAAATATTCACAAACTAATGTCAGTCAAGTGTATCTCAACCGTCAGCGCAAATCTGACACAAGCTTTGGTTTATTGAAGGCATTGCACCAGAAATAGAAGACACGGACGACATCATTGAATTGCAAAATGAGTTATAGTGAAGACCAATATGAGGATATGGTTAAGACAGTACCGTAGACACGGATAACTGGAAGAATATTGCTGGTCCTGCCCGACCCTGGGAGGAGTACACCACTCAATATAAACTGATGAATGAGCAGAGAATTAGTAGGAAAAGATTACGAGAAATATATAATTAATTTTATTTTTTAATTAAAAATATGGAAATCATTTGTGAAGTTACCACAAGTTAGATGACATTATAACTGGTTTTTGTGTTTTTTGAATTTACAATTACACTCATTATAAGCGTTCATGAGATTAGCTATTAAAATAAATTCCAACTAAAAATATAATTGAATTAATGATTGATTAATTATTATTTTTATTATTGCATACATTTCTTTATAAATGATATAATATAGTATTTCTTTAGCATTATTCTACAATAATATTCATTTCAACAAACACACAATGAACTTTATTGTCAATAAAAATTGCAAAAATATTGTAAATAAATTCGCAAATATTTAAATCTAATCTAAACTTTAATTCATAGCAAAGGAATTGTGTCAAGAGTATGAAAATAAAGTAAAAAAGCTTTTTATAAAATCGATTTAATTATTAACTTATTAAATTAGATGACAATAAATCGTGAGATATTTTGAGTCAAAAAATTTAAGTCAATTCATTCATAACATTTGGAGTAATAATTGAAAAAAATGAGATTTTTGTTATGTTTAATTTAGTTTAATAATTAAACTTGAATCATTTACTTTTGTTAAGAAATTTATTCTGGTATTTAGTAACTCTAACCTCTAACTTGACCTGTATATATATGACCAATAAATTCTATTTTCACTTAGACTTTTAAATTAAACTTTATTCTAACATATCAAGTATCGTGCTGATTTGTACAAATTTAATCATCTGGTATTAAGAGGATTTAAAAACATGCAATAATTGTGACCATTTTTTATATAGCTTATTAGAGTATACAGTACTGTACTGTATAACACAATGTCATAAATAATACGGATCATTGTCATATTGTTCATTATTTGTATAGGGAATTAGTCATATTGTTAGCTGTTGACTACAGAATGATTGACCAAGTTGACGACACTTGCCATATCCAATCCATTGACCATCAAATAGTGGGTCGAGCTGTCCTTCTTAACCCAAAAACT